AATCTATATAAATAAAAATATAATGTGTGTTTGTTCAAAGCTGCTAATCTTCGAAATTACTGGACCATATCCTCTGAAATTTTGACATAACGTTGCATTTGAATCCGGGCGGGTTTTTATGTGCTTATTATTACATAAGTTTTTCTAAATTTTTTAAAATTTAATTTTTAAGTGATATTTTGGTGTTATGACGTCATATGATGTCACGTTTCTCATTAAATGGAAAATGTATTCTTTACACGCAGTTTTTCAAGATTATTATACATTTTTACTCTTGCTATGTTTATTGATTGGAATATTTATCCAATTTTTTGTTCTTTGATACTTAATTAGGATTATTTTTTTAAAAAAATCATTTTTTAATGATTATTCTTTTAACAATTAAAATTTTGTTTCATAGTTTTGGCAACATTTGGATAGTATTATCATGGGAATGTTAACGTGTGTGATTTTGCGTACAAATTACAACTTACTTTTTAAGTAATTTCTCGCAGAATTTCTTTATTTCTTTATGAAGCGAACATTATAATTTTTTTACCACAACCAAAAGTTCTTATTGATGAAGGCATTTCAGTTAATATTACTGCAATTAACGATTATATTATATTTCCGTTTTTGTTATCTGCTTTAAATAGTACGAAATTAATGTCATGAATATTAGTAGCACTTTGGGTTAATAGGATTTGTTGCTCCAAATCCCAAATAAAGATATTAACTGCAACTGTAGTAGAGCTTATCTTATCTTTCTCTCCCGTATTCCTCGACGGCATTGTTCTTAAGTACATTTTCTTTATCTGTTTTTGTGAAATTTTTTAAAATTTAATGTTCCTCTGAAATATCAAATAAAGATTTTCTAATACATATTTTGTGTTCTATTGAGTTCATCAAAATATTGAGCCTTATTTTTTTATATCTTCTTAAGATTTAATTTTATAACTAGCTGTACCACATGTTGTTGTGGCTCATTCAGGTTAAAAAGACTGGTACGCCACAAGGATTACAAAAGTAAATAATATTCAAAAATTGAAAAGAATAAAAGAGATGGCTCTTACGTATTATTGCAGCAATCACCAACTCTCTAATGGCTCGACAAGTTGGCAGCTCCATTTTCCTATGTGTCGTATGTGTTGAATTGGCAACCAGATGCTTCGTTTCATATAATGTCACAATAGGTTGTGATTATACGTAAGTACCTTATTTTTTCATATTGTGTTTTTGTATTGATAAAGATAGTTCAGTTCTTTTTATGTAAGTTAACGTTAGTATTGTATTTTATTTTTCAATTTATTTTTATGTTTGTTATATATACTTTAGACAATTTTTTTGTATTTAAAGTACTAATTTTAATTTAGTACTTACGTATTTTCGCGCAATCGCCAACGTTCAAGATAACTCGTCACTTTGCAAATCCCAATTCTGTATGCGCTTAGCTGGCAATCATGTGCTTCATTTCCTATAATGTCATCAATAGGTTGCGATAGCATGTAAGTACCTTTAATTCTATATATTACTGTAATATTAGACTGGCCGCAACAGACCAATTTGACGTGATTTCAAAATCATGCCAAAAACGATTTTTTTAGGCTGTTTTATCGTTCTTTCCAGCAATCTTTAATTAATTCAATACATTATTTTTTTTATATTTTAGTACATACATTGTTTTTGCCATTATGCACCGCGAATAATTTTTTGCACATCGCGATGTCTTTGGCAAAATTAATCGGAGGGTTTTTTCTTTTTTAAATATGTTTTTTATCTGTTTTTGACAATTTTTTAAATTTCATTTGATGTCTATCTGACATACGAATAGCAAAATAAATATTTCACAATATATGTATTATGTTTTACGAAAATGTTTATATTAATTTAATAAAAAAAATTGAGCCTTCTTTTATTTTTGATATCCTTTTTAAGATTTCATTTTATGTTATAACTAGCTGTACCCAGCTACATGTTGCTGTGGCTCAGTCAGCTTAAAAAGACTGGTGCACCATAAAGTATGCCGTGAGGCTAACAAAAGTAATAATACACAAGAATTCAAACAAATAAAAGAAAAGTTATCTATATATGTATTATTGCAACAATCACCAACTCTATTAATAACTTGCCAAGCTGGCACCCCTGATTTCTATGTGTCGTACACGCTGAATCGTCAACTTGGTGCTTCATTTCATATATTGTCACTAATAGGTTGCGATAATATGAAAGCTCCAAAATAATTTCAAAATACATAAATAAGTTCATAAAATAATCAAAAACATATTGAAGAGGCAATCTTATACTGAAACCAAATTACTACTTCAATTTGAATCAAAAAGCTGTCTTAAACAAATAAAATATGCCCAAATTTGATGAAATGGCTCTACTCTGGAGTCCATGAGGGTAAAGGTTTAATTTTACAATTATTTTGTGATGCATCGCATTGCTATTCAGCTGCGTCTTTTACAATAGTGTCAATTTTGTGTGACTATAGTTTATTTTTTATTGCTCTTCATTTAGTTTTTAAATTGTTCTCAGTGCAATTGGTGAGCCTTCTGTTCTGCAAATTAATTTTCATTTGAAATAGTAGTGAAATTGACCACTTTGGAGTGATTTAATCAAGTGCAATCAAATGTTATGTTGCCCGTTGCATCAGAATTAAGCTATGTTGATTGATTTGCATTTGAAGTCAAATATTTTGTTAGCACTTTTTATTTTTTCTCTTTTTTAATGTTTTTCTAATTTATATGTTTTAAATGTAATCTTCATATTCTTAAGTCAATCAGCTTCCAGTGTCTGTTACATTTTGAATGTAGGTAGTCACCTTAATTATTTTTTGATAAATTGCATTGCTATTGTGTGAGCTGTGTCTTAAATGGTGGTGTTGAGTTTGTGTGAGTATATCACAAAAGTACAAATATCCCAATTTTTTTGTGGATCATGCAAACTTTCTTACATACCATCAATTTGTGACTGCTGCTCTAGAACACACAAAGGTATTTGTATATTAGCATCACCGTAACAAAATTGGTGCCACGGAAATTGCCCCTTGATATTAAAACAACAAAAATTATAACATTTTTTATATGAAAAAGAACCAATCAGAGTCAGATTTGGGTGGAAAATAGTGTGATTCGCATGGTGGCAATTTGGCTGTGGTGATGCTAATACGCAAGTACCCACACAACAAATAATAATCGTCTATTTGAAAAGCAGTCTGTGTCTAGATATAAGGCGCTCTGTTATAAAGATAGGCCCTGAATTTGTTGATAATAATTGCTAATGCTAATTGAATTGTGAATTGCGCAACAATTATTGATCATTATCAACATTTCATCACACATTTTTTTGCTGCGAAATCTATGTTTATATTTGTATTTTCCTTGCGAATTCAACTGAAAATATCTTCAACCCCCCACACATGTATGGTTTATATTTCTCCCCTAACTTTGTTGGAGATGAAGGAAAGAAAGCACATTTTCAATATATGATTACAAACAGTTCACAAATTTGATTTTGTTGTCACATGTTGCTCATGTCATTGATGATACTTCCCAGGGTTAATGGAATTTTTAACATAGTCATTAATTATTTTTTCTACATTGCATTAACATTAAGCTGTCTTTTACTATAAAGTTGATTTTATATGAGTATAGTTAATTTTTTTCCCATTGTTTTTTATTTAGTTTTTCCTCTTCATTTCTCAGAACAGTTGGCAGAAATGAAGCTCTGCCAATTAATTTTCATTTGAATTCAAATTATATTGTAAAATTGACTTCTTCAGAGTGATTTGTTGAAGTGGAATGAAATAGTCTGTTTCTCACTGCATTGGAATTAGGCTGTGTGGATTGTTGTACCTTTGAAGGTCAATATTTCATTAGAAAAATTATTTTTTATTTTGCCCTTTCTTTTTGTTCCTCATTTTCCCTTTTTTCAGCGTTTTGAAGTGTTATTTTTTTTAATTACTTTTTTTTTCTTTTTGAGGGCACTCAATTGGCCTTATAACATAAAAATAACGCTTTGCAGGAAATCAAACATAGGTAATCCTATTCGGTAAGCAAAAGTAGTGCAACGAGTAATTGCATAGCAAATGAGAAAAACAGACGAAGACACGGGCTGAGGACGCGTTAAATTTCGCTAACCAAAGTACGTACTGCATCTTTTACTGTGGCGTCCACATCTTTACCAACGTAAACAGTGTAACAAGTTTATCGTCTGCGATTGCTGAATAATGCGCGCACGTGCGGCCGATTGGAATGGACCCAAAAATTCTCGGAAGGATTTCCAATTTACGAATGAACTGTTTACTACATTCTGATGGGTAGTTCTAGCCATAACTTCTGGATATTTTAAGCCTGGACACCTTGTAGTTGAAATCTGTTGCTGTACACAGAAATACGGAAAACAAGAATATAGTGTTTTTTGTAGGAAAACTTTCAATCATCCAATATATATTAGAGGCTACCTTAAGGATTATATTAAAGTGTGAAAAAGAATGTAATTTTAATCATTTAAACACCGATTAAGTAACAATATTTCAGAAGAAAGCATTTTGTATGTTACAAAATAATAATCGCATCTACCGACTTCTATATACTGCGTAATGCAATGAGTGTTTTTTCTCTCGCAAAGAAAGTTTTTTTGCTGATGTGTATTGGTGAAGTAAATATCAACAAGTATTATTAGAAAAAAAATTAAGTCAATTCCTACTTAGGTCAACAAAGAAAAATTTTATTTTAGTTAATTTTTATTAAATAATTACAACTAATATAAATATGTATATACATGTTTATATTATACAAAACATCCATACATTATAAACATACATTATTTATTAAAATATTAAACAAAACCACAATATTAAGTAGCAAGAAAGCGATTTTTTTAGAAATTTTCCGATTTCCTTTCTATATAGGGTGATGGACTATTATTTTTGTTTGTTATTATTTATTCATTAATTAAATTTAATTCTTCCAATAAAATAGTACAGTAAAAAGAAATCACATTCTCAGAAATTAGGCCATACCAGATGGGATTCTAATCCACGAAATTGGATTAGAAGTTCAACGCGCTATCCATTGCCCTACAGGGACACAACGAGTTATTTTCCTTTTTATATAGGGTGTTTGACCATATTATTTTTGTTTATTCCTATTTATTTATTAATTAAGTCTAATTAATGAATTAATATTTGAAAAAACTGTTTTAACATCAAGTGTAATCCATTTCAAATCTAAAAAATGTATTTGAACTTGAGTGGATGAATAAAATGTATTTTATTAATGATTGAAAATTTGAACAAGATATATATATAGGGAGAGTGTGTGCTAATTATAAGAATTGTGAAAAAAATTATTCTTTGTTGACTATACTTTCATTGAATGGATCTTAAATTTTCAAATGTGCCTGATGTCTCTCTATTTACATAACTTTTTGGGTTGAGTTGCACTTTTTTTTTACTTTTACTTTTGTCTCTCTCCCTGAGGGTAAACTTTCATAATGTAGTCTAGTGTCACATCTGGTAAATCTCATTCTTATTTTGATGTAACAAACATTATTGTTCCTCTGAAAACAAAGAGAAAAAGAGGTATTAAAAATATTTAATTGAAACAGGATTATACTAAAACCACCAAAATTAGTAAAAAAAAAAACTAATTTCTGCATTCCCAAATCTGAATTGCATTATTCATCACCTTTTTTTTATATAATTTTAGGATTTATAAAGGAGTATGTTTTTCTGTGGGAAATTAGATCTTAGAAAATATGGTGTGGTCGTCTCTATTGTGGATCTCTTTTAGATAAAATTGCGACCTCGAGATACCCAACTGATCCTCTCCTGCACTTATGGTATTTTCTATTTATATTAATCACGGGTGACGCCCTCTCGAAATATCATAGTGTCCGAGAAATTTCTCGTGGCCGCGGTAGCCGAGTGGTCAAGGCATCGGATCGTGGCTTGTCTTATAACGAGTTCGAGCTCAGTACCACTGAAGACCCGCCGTGTAGGTCAGTGATGCCCGTTAAATCTGTCGAGAGCTCAAACATCCTCCCTTTGGTGCAGTGTGGTAGTTAGGAGAGGGGGATGCCAGCTTAGGTGTTGTCTACGTCACTTGGCCATGGTTCAAAATCACGTAGTCCGTCGCCAAAAGCCTCGTGCAGCTGGACAGTGCAACGTTAATATTCAATCAATCAATCAACCGTGGAATATCTCTATTTCTGAACCATTCTCCTTGTGTTTCCTTAAAATCTTTTAAATAATTTCTTACATTTGCAAAGATTTGCCCAAATCAAAGATATAGAGTTTTATAAAAGGATTAACATGCACTTAATGTATTTAGACTGAGTGTCGCATTTTTATAAATTGTATGGCCTTCATGGAAATTTTTTCACTTGCTCAACAATCTCTTCCTAGTTGAGTATGGAATACTCACACCATGGCTGACTTTGACGCCTTTTTGCACTGAATTTTAGAAAGCATCAACAAGTGCGGTGTCATCATCACCATAAACTTGGAATATATTACGGTATATTAAAACCGTAATACTGCTTTTGTCAAACTGTGCAACGAACAGTGTCTCATATGCATTTCATAACTTATTATAGACACTGTCTCCACAAATGTACTGTCAGAAACGTCATGCATTTACACATATCTTGAATGCCCGCACGTGTTATTGGTCAACGTTTCAGTCAACGCATACCATATGGGACGGCAGTTCAGGTGCAGTTTGATATCACCAAAAATCTGTACAACTTTAGTATAATCTCATTAAGTGTGTAGTTTAGTATCTCAATATGTATAATGCATTTATTTCTTAATAAATTAACGAGTCATTGGTCCAATTTCGCCAAACATTATCTTTGTCTCCAATAAACGAAAACAATCGGTTTCCGAAGGTTTAAATTACTGAGCTTCCATGAATTATTTTTGGGAGCATTAAACGCACATATTGAAATAAAAATCATCTTACTAAAAATCTGATTTTAGTACATGTATCATTCCATAAAATTTCCATTGTGTGAAATAAATTACCAAAATTCCAAATTCGAAAACTAATTATACAAAAGTTCAAAACTAAACAAAAAAAAATCTTGAACCAACCACAGCATCAGAATATGCCACAAAGAGACGTTCAAATAAAAAATAATATATGTATTTGATTTTTGGAAAGGGCATTTTTGATGATATTAACAAAATTCTTAATGAAAAAAGGGAAATTACCTTTATGAAATATTTTTCAAACATAAGAGAATTTTAATTTTTGATATCTGAGTTATAGGATTAAAACTCTTCTACTTTTTTTAAAAGAAAAGTAATCTATTTTCATATCTCATCAGAAATAACGCAAGACAGATAATAATTATTTCTAACTTTTTAAAGACACACATATTTTTTGCAACATTCATCTGATTTTAATTAACATTCTAAATTGTTCTGTACAGCAATGGCAACAGATCGTAAATTATTTTTCCATTAAAATATTTTATCAAGAAAAGTGATAAAGGAATATAGAAAAATACACTTTCATAATTCCAAACTTGAGGATTTCTCCTTCTTTAATTTTTAAATTTATTAATATAATGACCGTTAATCATGGATTTTTCCCTCAAAATTTCGAAAGCAGCAAAACGCAATTATACAAGTTATTAACATACGCTTATGATAGAAAAATTGTTCCTTTAAAAAGTATTTTCTAGTATAAATTTATTATATCTTTATTTCTTAATCAGAGATTTGATGACAAGAACTTTTATTAAAAGGAGCCTTTAAGAATTTCATTAGTATTGTAATCAACAAAATTTTAAAAATATTGATACCAGTGTATAAATAGTTTTCTTTTAATAGTTATAAATTGTTTCTGGTACAAAGTTGTATTTTTGTTTAAAAAGGGTATTTTTTATATTGGCTTATAAATGGAGAATTATATAAAAAGAAAATATGCACGCATGAACAAAAAAATTAGCGCACCAAGAAGGAGTCGTCAAAATGAAAAGAAATTTTAAATACGTAATGACCACTTTGATATAAGTAAATGATTAGAATATCAAAGAAAAAGGAAAAAAATTTCACAGAAAAAGGCAAAAGAAAAAGGAGGATTTAATACCCTGTTAAACCCCCTCTAACGCGAATGCGTGGCCGCGGTAGCCGAGTGGTATAGGTATCGGATCGTGGCTTGCCTTGTCACGAGTTAAAGCCCAGTACCACTAAAGACCACCGTGTAGGGCAGCGATGCACGTTAAATCTGTCAAAAGCTGAAACGTCCTCCCATTGGTATAATGTCTAGTTAGGGGAGGGGGTGCCAGCTCAGGTGTCATCCACGTCACTTGACCATGGTTCAAAATTACCTGGTCCGTCACCAAAAGCCCTCGTGTAGCTGAACAGTGTGACGTTAGTATTCAATCAATCAATCTAGCACGAATGCACGATGCGATACGATCGGTCATGGAGGCATACAAGCTCTGTATAATGTCTTGAAACATTTCATTCCATATTTGCTGTAACCTTACCACTAGTTCGTTCAAACTCGTAGGATGCCCAACTCGCCGTCCCAAGTGATCCCAGATATGCTCAATTAGAGACAAATCTGGGTATTGGGTAGGCCAAGGAAGGGTAGTACCAGTGTGAAAATAGTCTTGTGACGTCCTTTCCGTGTGAAGCCGAGAATTCCCTTGTTCAAAAATGTCTCCTGGGAGCCATTTGCATGAGTGGCAACACATGAGGTTGCAGGATGTCATGGACATACTGCTGGTCTGTCATGGTGCCGCGGATCAATACTAAGGGTGACCATGTATTGTAGGCAATGTCACCCCATATTATCACACCAGCTGTGGGAATAATGTGTCACTGTAAAGCAAATGCAGGATTGAGGCGTTCACCATGGGGTCTCCACACAGGAAAACGATTGTCATCACTGTTGAGATTGAATCGGGATTCGTCACTAAAGATGACCTGGTTCCATTCCACTGCGGTCCAGTTTCCTCCAAACGGAGGCGTCAAGGGCAGCACACGTAATGGGCGCCGCGATCCCAAACGTCAGTAGATATAAAATGCCGGTTCTGGGACAAGTGGAGCGTGGAGCCTCCATAGACTTAACATGGGGCCGGTTCTGGGACAAGTGGAGCGTGGAGCGCGGCTGACGCCTGGGGGCAGAAGAGATAAGGAAAGTGTGACAATGGGGGGTCTCCTTACCTGAAAAACATCCTGCGCATGCATTATGAAAATTTGAAATGTTGGGAATTCATTGAATAGACTGTTTATTTTTCAATTAATAATTTTTAAAATAAGATTTCAATAATATTTTCTATTTTACTTTAGTGCAAAAAATAATGACAAAAAATAAACATTTTTTTATGAGAAGATGAATCATTCCAATCCTTTCTCGTATTAGTAAGGGGTCTTCTCTATCAGTATGATTGGTTTGAGAACACGAATATGTTTTTAATGATAGGCGATTCGTATTTTTACTTAATGAAATGAATTAATTAGTTAAAATGAATATACTGTTCAACTTGATCGTAGGATTCGATGCAAATTTTAGTCTTGATGAAGGGAGACAAAACTTTTTTTGAAAAATAAAACTTAATGTCAGTCAGAGCTATTTTCGTTTCAATAAATGTTTTTCGTTACTTCAAAACTAATTTTTTTTTTTTAGAAAAAGTACATTTAAGAGTGGTGCCATCTATGATTGATTTTAATTTCTATGTGTAAAATTAGACTTATTTTTAAGTTGAGTTTCGAACCCCAAAAGTCTTCGTTGATGAATGTTAGAAGGTACGATCCTAACAACTCACCTACGAAAACCTGTTACCATACATTTAGTTTACTCACATATTATCAAACTTTAAGCGAAAATACTTAGAATAAAGTTGAATTGTAAGATTCCTATGGCTAAAAATTTAATATCCTTCTAAACTATTTAAAGCTATGAATTTCTTCATTTTATACGTCATGTAATAATTTCGAGGATATATATAAAATACATGTTTTTACTTGCCAAGGTCATGATAGAATTATCCAGAAGTGGTAATCTATCTTATCTTAGAGGGAAAGGAATGTGTAAACAACCTTTGAACATGTTGGTACATGGATAAC